AATTGTTGAGATGTTTTGGTAGGTTTGCAGCTGCGTTGCATGATTTCAACTTCGATTGCTGGGTTATGAATGTTGTTCCCGTTAGTGGTCCTAATACACTGCCTGTTCTATATGACCGGGGTTTCATTGGAGTCATGCATGACTGGTAAAATACACTTCTCTTTCTGTGGATAGTATTTACATCAAATGTTTACAAGTTTTTTCTGGAGTCTAATCATCAGAGTTGGTAATGGATCATGGTATTCATGTACAGCCAAAATTAGTGCACTACACGATGTGGCTTTTACAGTAGATCATAGAATTCTCTCTTTTATTCATTAGTAGATTTGATAATATGTCTCTGTGGATTTGAACATCTTAGATTGCACTGTCATGACCCAAGTCTACACCCTGGACGTGGCGGCACTCGAAGACCATTGTTGGTCCCCAAGCAAACCCTCATCCTGGCTGACTACAAACGGAAGACTAACTTAAACATGCAAAAGCTTAAAAGTGAAATAAAAGTTCATAAAACTTAAATACAAACTTTAAATCCAAAGAAAACTCTGTATAATAAAAAGGCAACTTTAGTCTTTAAAACATTTAATAAAATAAATGATACAGACTTTTCAACTATACTGACTATCTATGAAGCCTCTAACTGTTAAAGATGGAAGTCGGGACAAGACACACGACATCCTAACAACTGATATAACTGAAAGGTAAATGAAATCCTCCGAAAACAAGGAGGGTCACCATAGCTAACTCGAACTCCCGAATGTATCAATGAAGCTCCTGTTGATGATCCTGAATACCTGTGTATGCATCATGAGAAGATGCAGGCCGAATGGCTCAGTACGTGGAATGTACGAGCATGTAAGAGGAATTCTAAAACATAAACATAAGCTTGGAACTTGATAAAAAGGAAACATACTTACCTCTTCTCAATCTTTCTCAACTCAAGGAATACTCAAGCATACTCAAAACTACTCAAACTTACTCAACTCGGAAGTATTCAAGGATAGGATACCCAACTCAGAGATATGATATTCGACTCTAGATACTCAACTCTGGATACTCAACTCAATATGACTGAACTCATTTCAATATAAAGCAATTTAAAACAAGTGCAAGATAAGAAACAAACTGTTTAAAAACATGATGTCAACTATGTGTGTATGCAAGGATACAACATAACTTTGAAATGTATGTAAAAATACAAATAACCTGATGTATATAAAATAAAAAATACAGTTGTGGGAGTTTCTCTAACCGACAACCATCATATTAGAGCTATTGTGATGATACAACGATCTTCCTCAGGCTGCCAGCACATCCTATACCCGGCCAAAGGTATAGGACCAGAACTGCCTAATGAATCCACTAGTCTATTTCGAAAAAGGTTCATCTAAAAAGTATGACCATTTTCTACCCATGGTGGCTACATGGTTTATGGAGGCTGTGAGTTGTCTGAACTCTCTCCCATATCGGTGCTCAATACTACTCCCAAAAATATACTAGCTCTTATATTTTAAAAACATACTTCTTTCTGTTGATTTGAGATAATTGCTCAAAAACTTAGCTCAAAGGTCATCTTGGAAATCCCAGTTTCCTCTCTTGCTTCATTTAGAAAGCGATTACTCTTTTCTGAAAATTAGCCCGAAAGCTCTTTGGAAATCTCAGTTTCCGTTCTTATTTAAATGTGAAAACATTTATAAACTCTTTGGGAATACTTAGTCCCCATATACTTTTGAAGAAAAAGACTTCAAACTTTACTCTTTACTCTTTACTGAACTCAAAACTTAAGTCTTAAAAAAAAATTAAAACGTTTGTAAAAGACTTCTTAAAATATGGTTCATACCGAATTATGGACATGAACTACTCAATGCAAGGTTTTCAATAACCATAGATAGAACTCAAATACTTGGAACTCAAGAACTTCAATAATACTACTCATTTCAAGAATGCTCAACTCAGAGTTCATACGGAATTATGAGCATGAACTACTCAACTGAATGACTCAAAGATACTTCTCAAAAGGGGTTAGGAACTCAACACTTAAAGGCTTAGAACTTGAAGACACCACTTCTCTGAAGGATGCTCAACTTACGACGTGCATGCGGAGTTTATGGGCATGAACGACTCGACTCAAGGGTCAAAATATCAATAAAGAACTCATGTACAACTCTTCTCATTCTCATACTTACTTTCTCAAAATTTAACTCAAATCGATGATGGATCTCAAAGGATTCAGAATCGAACTCAAAGGCTTCCTTGAACTCTACTCTTAACTCTCTCTTGAATTAAAATTAGAATTATGAATTCAAGAGTTATGATTCATGATATGAAGGATCTCAATAACAATATAGCTATTCGATAATTAGGAATAGAACTTTTAAAAGAAACATGAATTCAAGAACTCAAAATCAACTTATCTCAAGAATACTCAAATCTAGGGAAAGTATCCTAGATTACTCTTTTACTGATCTGAAAGTAGATGTAGGGAGTGAGGACGAACTAGTCCAACACTATGATAGCCTTACATACCTAGAAGAAAAAGATTCTTGAAGAATCTTTAAGAATCTTGAAGAAGAACTTGATTAGAAGCCTTGAAACCCTAGCTTGAAGGTAAACAATCAAGAAAACCTTTCTTGAGATTCTCGAGTTAGTTTCTTGAAATCTCTATGGCCAAAAATTTTGATTTTCATGAGTGAAGATGAAAATCTGATTGTTTTGAGCTTTTTGTTTGTCAAGAAATTCGTTGATGGTTTTCTTGGAGGTAAAAAGACAAAAACGATTATTTTCAATATTTTCCCGTCGGCTAATTCGTAACAGCACTGTATAGGTTACTAAAATAGTCATAACTTTTTACTCAGATATTGGATTGACGTGAAATTGGTGGGGTTGGAAAGTAGATTCAATTACCTTTAAGTGGATAGGTTATGGCTCACGTAACTCTTAATATTCTAAGAGATATGATCGTTTAAAGTTAACCCAAGCAGAATCTTACATCAAAACTTAATGAAACTTCAAGAACACTTATCAAGAACGAAATTACGCTGAATAAATCATGATTGGTGTGTGGGTGAAAGAACCCAACACTATGGAAGCTTACATACCTCTTGGGGATTAAACCCATGGCGAAAATCCGCAACAAGACGCAAGAATCTCGACGAACGCTTGATCCTCTCCTCTTTTCTCCTCTTTTCTCTCAACTAAAACCCTAGGCGTAAACTAGGATTATAAAACTGAACCTAATCAGATTAAACTCCTAAAATATTACTAAAAATGAATTAAATCTGATTGGGTAAGGAAAAGACCAAAATACCCCTCTAAAATTCGATTTTGACTTTCCTTAACTGGCAGCCTAACTTCAAAAGGTCATATCTCACTCGTCCGACCTCGAAAAACATAGCAAACTCAGCGGCGTTGGAAAGATAATTCAAAGGTCTTTCCTACGGTATATGGTATCACACCTAACTCATCCTGAGCTATGAGTTATGGTCGTTTGAAGTCAACCCAAAACTCATATTTAAGCATAACTTGCAAAATTTCTGATTTTGCTATTTCCAATTTAGTTCTCTTTCAAACTCAAGTTGCTACATCTAGTGAACTTAACACTTAAGAAATTTTAATTCCTCGATAAAATCCTACTCACAACGAAGAACAGTTCGGGTCTTAGTTCGAAATTTTTTTCTGGAGTGTTACATGCACTCTAGATGATCATGTATCAAACGAATAGCGGGGTTGGCTTACACCAAAATCAATTTCAGTGGTTTGAAAACCACTTCTTACCAACAAATTAGAACGTGAACACGAAAAGCTTGACTTGTTTAAATCCTATTGTTTTGATCTCCAGGTGTGAGCCATTTGCTACTTATCCAAGAACGTATGATTTAGTCCACGCAGCTGCTCTTTTCTCAGTCGAAAAAAACAGGTATAATACTTTTTCACCTTGCCTTAACTTTTCGATCAATGTGATTCATCAAAGCAGTTCATTTTATGTGAAGGTGATTGATTATATATCCTCACATCTCATTCATGCAGATGCAATGTGACAACTATCATGCTTGAAATAGACAGAATTCTTAGACCCGGGGGACGAGTTTATATTCGCGACACCACACCTGTTATCGAAGAGCTCGTAGAAATTGCACAAACCTTAGGATGGGTGTCATTTAAATATGATAGCAGCGAGGGACCTCATTCCAATTGGAAGCTTTTGATAGGCGAAAAGCGTCTATAATAAAAAAGAGCAGCTCAGTGCACAAAGCATCCTGCATTAGTTATATGTTTTGATACAATACTTATTTCTAAAGAAGATAGATGGTTTAATACAAAATTGAAAAAGCCTCAATGTCTCTGGAGAGAAATCTTTTTTTTTAAAACTGTAAATAATTGAGCAATTTGGTTACTTTGAATTTAATTTGTATTTATTTCTAACCTTACAAGTAATCTTTTGTTACTTAGCTCTAAAAGATTGCAAGAGCCTCAGATTTAATTTCAGTTGCTATTTACTCTTATTGACTTGATTGTGTAAAAATCATTTACACTTATATCGGTATTAAATCTTGTATAAGTAATACCACATTTGATAGCTAGTTAGGAAGTAAGTCATTTACGTGAAAAATTGATACGGCATCAATATTGTTTTATGTAAGGTGGAAAATACATGATTACAACACAACTAATCTCCACATAAAATAATACGCACTCATACTATTGTATTATAATTATTTAATTAATTGATTTCCTTAGCTGTCAATTAAGGTTGCTGATATTGCAAGAAAAAGATCTGATTGAAATATTATTAAATTCTTGCAAATATAAACATCTAAATTCAAATGTTGAAAGTTATTTATACGAAATTATGAACAAAAAAGTACAAGAGAAAAGTCATCAGCTTAATATTTCTAGAGTATATTAAATAAAGTCCATTAATAATAATAGTAATATAAAGTTCAACAAAACTATAAAATTAAATCCCCAGCAAACCATCTAACATCATTAATCCAAATGCATACAACTAAAACATTTTTTTTTCTTGGTAGATTGTAAGCGGGATTATATTATAGTATATTATATTACATACCTCTAATTCTAATTAATTATCAAACATCATGTCCTTAAACTCCTCATAATCAAGTTTTCCATCTAAATTTTTGTCATAAACATTAATCATACTCTTACAATCTTTCCCACATTGTTCATCCCACAATCCTAATCTTGACAATGCTCTTTGCAGCTCCTCACAACATATGAATCCGTCCTCGTTTAAATCGAATACTCTGAACACTTTACGAAGGTCATTTTCCAAGAAAACATTTTCTCGATCCTCGTGCTTATAATTGCTACCTTTATTAATATATGTTTTTGTGATAGCATCATAGAAGAAGAAAAAATCAATAGAGTCTAGGCCTGTTTTACCAAGTAGCAACTCTAGCTCCTCTTGGCTTGCAATAATTCCTATTGTATCAAGAAATCCCTTTAACTCATCAAGACACACAAGGCCATCACCATTCTTGTCAAGCTTTGAGAAGATTCTTGACAAATTAATTGAGTTGATTGGAGACATGATCGAACAATGAAGTTATATCGAAGGCTTTCTGAATTAATCAAGCCAGTAAATTTCTGACGCGCATTAATGATGCTGTAGAGAAAAACTTCAAAGAAGATGTGGTACTATATATAGTACTTCAATCAAGAATTGAGAGGAAATATCCCATGTCCTTTACTTGTACGGACTAGTATACCTAAAAAATAATAATATAACAATCACAAGACATTACTTGTGGTTGAAATTGGACAAATATTAAATAGGAAGTTTCTTGGAAGAAGGGGTTTTATAAGAAAATAAGCAGACATTTATAAATTCAATCAGAAACAAATTTGTAGTAGGAGTAATTTCTGTGTTTTTTCGTTGGCTTGAAGAGTTATGTTCATTATTGACTTGATTCATACAAGTAAACTTTCTAGAAATTTCCTTTGTCTTTATCACAACTTCCAATAAGGAGAATAATAGAAATACGGAAACCAAATTTCACTCGTTCAAGATACGATGTCATAGAAAGTAATATAGTCAAAGTTATATTTTTTTCGTCTCAATTTATAAGATATTATTTGTGTAAAATAAATTTTTTGTTTGGTGTGAGGATAAAAATAAATAGTGATGAGATAAGAAAAAAGTGATGTGATAAAAATTGTATATCTTGTTTGGTTGCCATGTTTGGGATAACTTATCCCACCATTTATATCATAGTAATGGGATAAGTTATCCCAGAATAGATAACCCAGAATAACTAATCCTTGGATAGCTTGTTCCAACCAAACGACCGCAGACATTTATAAACGAAAAAATTTGCAAAAAGTGTACTACTATAATATATTTGGCCTTTGATTAATAGAGAATATGAGATGAACAAAGAGCTATGAAGAATCAACATCATTCAAGAAGAAGTAGTACCCTTAGATTTTGGCAGTTCCATAATGAATACATATTTTAGGACCACAGAGATAAAAAGTCCTACTTTGTGCCTTTCAATCTTAACCTTGCCTTGCTAGTATTTTGTTTTTTCATCTTTTAGTTCTTTTGTCCCTTGGGCACATTGAGGGACCTTGCCCCCAACAAATTCACTAAAGAACTTGGTGAAATAGATGAGATTGTTCCTTTCTTAATCAGATGTCTCGAGAGTTTAAACCTTGGGTATAAAAATGTTTTTTCCAATAAGGAGTGCTTCTCTTCAAAATGAGGCCCTATACGATGTGAATTCAAATTAATCAAGTTCTAATGCGGATACCAAATCTTGGATGGGAAACAAAAAAAGAAAACTCGATAATCAAACTAACACAATTCCAACCCAAATACGCTATAGATGTATTTTTCTAAGTTGTAAACTGGAATTACAAAAATTAGGAACGGAAGAGAAATTGCTAAGAACAAACATATAAAGGAAAATCAATAAGGGTTGTGGTAGAGTTGTAAGTACTCTTTCATTGAGTTTGAATTCCCCTTGTTCTGGAATTGCTTTTGTTAGAGAGTACTTTATTTTTCGATGTGAGACTTTTCAACACAAATTTAAATTTAATCAGACTCTATTATGACTATCAATGTTTGAATAACTAATAAAAAAACATAAAAAGGAAAGACCACATATAGAAGAAGTGGATGAGAATCAAAATGAGAGACACATACACTTCATAATAATAATTAGCATAAACTTCTTCTATTCCAACCCTAGTTAAAGAGAAATGGTCCCAATCCACAAGTTGTTTGTTTTGAAATACACTGCCTATTCAAACCTTCTCCATCCAAATATAAAGAAGTCAAGGGAAATTTATGATCTAAAAAATGTTATACGGAGTGAAATATTGCTCTACCTAAAATACGATGCTACATGGTCATGAAATAGTTAGATGTGCCAAATATGGAGGTTGAGTTGAATTTGAACGAATCTAATTGAGTTAAGTCAATAAATAAGAAAATTATTAAACTAGTTAAAATCAATAATATATTTACGAAAAATGACTATAATTTCAAAATATTACAAAAAGAGCAATATGTTGTTTTTATAACAAACAATTCCCCGCTGTCCCTTGCCTCTTCTCCCTCTCTCCTACCCTTCCTCTCTCTCCCTTGCCTCTCCTCTCTCTTTCTTGCCCCCTCTCTCTCTCTCTTCCTAATAAAAAGAAACACATTCAAATTTATCATGTATCAATTATATTCAATCAAATATAGGTGAGAGTTTTGTATGTTATTTCAATTGTATTCGAAAAACTGTATTTTATATTTTTTGTATCAATCATATTTCTATCCATACGAATACAATATGGATTCATCCTCTCTGTATCTAATCAAAGAGAGGAAAAATACAGTCGTATTTGTTGTATTTCAAATAGAATTGATATAAAATAAATACAGAATACAATGCAAAATAAATACAAAATACAATCTTCTCTCCTCCCTTTCTCGATCTCACTCGCCTCTCTCGATATCGCTTGCCTCTCTCCTCCCTCTCTCGATCTCGCTCGCCTCTCTCCTCCCTCTTTCAATCTCGCTCGTTTCTTATCTTCTTAATATGTATTTATTTTGATACAAATCAGTTTGTATTTGTATTTGTATTCTTTTTCTCCAAAATCAACGAAAAATACACTCTCTCCTCTCTCTCGCAGATCTCGTTCGCGTCTCTCCTCCCTCCTCCCCTAACATTTTGCTATTATCCATAATTAAGCAAATTATAGCTATAGAGTCTTATTTAACGCTAAATATTTGTTGTTTTGATAAATTTCCCTATTTAGGTATTTTCACCAACGTAGCTTCTATGGACAAACGTGAACCAACAAGAATCTAAGGAGAGGTCGGAGACATTTTTCCTAACACCTCTTGTAACATACATTGAATCTTAAAACTATCCTTTGACCATGAATCCTTCACTATCTTATCATTCAAAATATTTGGTTCAAAACCTCAGGATGAAAGCATAAATGTAACAAACTCAATAATCAGATCAACGCAATTCAAATAAGCTATAGATATATTTCTCTCTAACTTATAAGTGGGTGGAATTACAATTAGGAAATTTTGTGTCTGCTCATAAGCTTGGAAGTGGAAATTTAGCAATTAATCCACAATAATTGTTTAGCAACGTATATCCTTAAAATTGCCTCCAATGATTTATTTTGAAAACATAAAACTATACATAATAACACCAGAAATTCACTTACGTAAACATATGTTATCATAACTAGATACATGAGCTCGTGCTCAATATATATTATTTTTTGGAAACTTTATTTTTTATGTTCTAATTTATATGACACAAGTAGAATTTTGAGAATTAATTAAATTTCTTTTTTGATAAAATTTAGATCAATTTATGTTGTTAATTATTGTGATTTCGTAATTTGCAAATATATAAATTATTGGAAAGGTCTTTACTTTCCTTGTTCTTTGTTTCAATTTATATGATACAGATGAAATTTGGAGAGTCAATTAAATTTTTATTTGATTGTAATTTTTTATATGATTTTTTAAAAATATTTTAATTGTTAATTATTCTAATTTATAATACTTTTTACGTAAATTCTAAATATATAATTTATGAAAAATTTCCTTTGATAATTTAATATCTTATGACAAAAATACCCTTTAATGCCATTTGAATTCTACAAAGACACATGTGCTCGTTGTCACGACCCAGACCGTCGTGATTGGCACGCACACTAACACTCCGGTGGGAGAACCATTACTACAACTCAAACCAAGCAACTAATCTAAAAACTAAGGCATTTAAGTATATGAAAGCAGAAATAATAGCTAAAACTGAAGTTCCCATAAACTTCAACAAAAGATCTAACAACTAACAATGCGAAAGAAATAACCTAGAACCTGAAAGTCAATGTACCAAAACATCTAACAATGAACCAAGTCTAAACAAGAAGGGATGCAACCCCAACTAATGAACTAAGCAACTAACTAAAACAAACGTCTAAGTTCGAAAATGATGGAAATAGACAAATTGAAAGAGAATTCCATGGCAGCCCGGAAGAATGGGCTCACCCTTGAATTCGAACGACTATCACTGATCTCCTAAGCGAGGTCTGTCAGTCGCCGCTTAAAGATGCCCTATACTCAACAAAAATAAGAGCAAGTGCATCATCAGTACACAACCACAGTGTACTGGTAGGATCACACAACTATCCCACTAAGTGCAACATAAGCAAGTCAAGATAACATTATAATCACATGCATATATATCAACATATATAATATTATCATCATTTACGAACAACTTCACATTTCGCAAGATACACAATTAAGTCACGTCATTAGTCCTCTCATGGAACCTAAATACCCAAACAGTTAGCATACCGAAATGTGGTACCCGATCCCAATGTTATGCTGGAACGTGGCAACCGATCCCAATGTTATGTCGGAACGTGGCAACCGATCCAAGTTAGTTATACATGAATGTGGCAACCGATCCCATTCACACACCACAATCACAATCCCAATCACAAGTATATCTTCAAGATCATACATTTAATTCATGATTCATGGCAATCTTCATTCATCTATCTCATTTATAACAAGTGTGATCAACATTGCAACATTCATACATATACAAATATCATAATGAAGCAAGAATAAACATACATCACACAATCATAGAATCACAACCATCACCTACCTCGAAACAAGCTTGAAACCCTAAGAAACTTGATCCTTCCCTTTTCGGATTCGTTCTGCTTGTTCTTGATCTACAAATAATCATAACAACACGGGAATTAACAAACAATCGCTAATTACTCGAAACTATAACAATTCTATGAACCCTAGATCAAATCCATGATCCCAATCATCCAAATTAGGGTTGTTTGCACCATAGAATTTGTAACAAAACCTTTCCCCATCAATATTCACCCATTCTATTATGTTCTACAGATCGAAAAATGGATTCGGGGAGTGAAAAGCTTACATTTAGCCTCAAGATTGGTGAAAAATGAGTAGGAGTCTCATGGGGTTCGTTCCTTAGCTCTAAAAATCGAAAGTGCCAAATAAGGTCGTTTAGGAGTTTATTAACGACTTTAAGTCGTGTCTGTCCCGCCACAGCGGCCATCACCCCGCCAGAGCGACCAAATTCCCCGCCAAGGC